TTATTCCATGAAGAGACAATATCGACTAGCATGTTTAGTCTAAGATTTCCCGTTCGTCTTGCTGGGGATCCATGCAACATCTGTCGATGCCCTCGACTTTCCAAAATCCGCGCCTGGGTAATTATACGCAGTGTACGCTTGCGCCCGCTTTCCATCTCGCACTGGAACGCGGAATCCCAAAAGCCCCAGCTGTCTGTCAGATAATTTTGCCTTGGTCTCCGCGTTCATGAGCTCCGGGTAGTTCTCCATCGCCTGCAAAAAGAAGCGGCAGAATGCTGACAGAATGATAGGTCGTGTCGTGTCCGACGTGTTCACGCCAGTCGAGTGCCAGGTTCGGCTGTCCAAGAGCACACATGTTCCAGCGGGAGCTGCCGCCGGAACGGATCCGCCCTAGTAATGATAAATAAGATATCTAGCAAGTTTTGGGCAACCTATGAGGCAAACAAAATGGCAATGACTTACAACTTGATTAATAACAGGCGGCGCGACATTCTTGTTGTGAGACCCGGGATACATACGGGTGGCGCCTCTCTCTTCCGTAACATCCACCAAGTACCACATAGCATTCAAAAGGTAAGCGTGATCGATTGTCTCGGGGGTGAGTCCCATCTGATCACGATGCATATAAATACCAGACTTTGCAGGTCGAGCAATGTTGGCGCCCATAGAATGGAGCTTGAACGCATTACCTAGGAACCAGGGCATAATTGCATCGATAAGAGGATGATTCAAAAGATCCAAAAACTCATCGCCTTTGTTGGGAAGACTCCTATATGGAATTATCAGTTGGCTGTGTCCAATACGACTCAGAAGAAGCCAAAGCAATCTTGCAAGATGAAAGGCACAAAAGTCCAATGTTAGCTTACCAGACTCGTTGATTCGGTTGATCGTCAGCATGCACATGGGAACTGTCCATGTGGGCTACACCAGCCAATCGTTCGCCAGCTGCTTGTTCTTCAACAGCAGCCTTGAGAATCTCAACTTGATCCGCCGAAAGAGCATTCTTCACCATTGCGTATCCCCATTTCTGAAGATCGCGTTTAATCTGCTCAACGTCCTCAGTGGGTTTTGGCAGATCTTGAGGATCCAGCTTATCTGCGTTGACAACAGACTGGGGACGTCCGCCCGGAGCAAAGCACATTGGGAAGCTCCCACGACACGGAGGCTTCGCGCGCTTGCCAAAGGCGTGAACTGCATGCATGCGGCCTTCAATGACATCGAGGATGTGCTCCGGCATGATATTTACCGTGACTCCAGGTTGAACATCATCTGGGATGTTGTCGAGCAGTGCTGCACTCGTTGATGTGGAATCAATGAAGATAGGGGGACTAAAGTACTCTGATCCGTCCCCGAGCTTGAGCTCAACGAGAGTACCAAGTCCATCAAAGTCCTAGATATTATAATAAGCTATGGCCTAAATACTGTGGCTATAGGAAAAATGAAGACCATCATCACTGAGTTACAGTTACTATGAAATGATCCAACATACTGCCAGTCTTTTCTCGATGTATTCACGAACGCGAGAAACATTCTGCTGAAACACCCTTAGAGGGTCGTCTCTGGTTACATTGTAAGGCTTGCCTTCGAAGACAAGTCCAGAGATGAGGGAGCCAGTCGGTGGCGGAAGAGTCGATGCCATGTTGGGTCGTTGAGCAGCAATAATCGAGGTGAAAATTTTGAAACTGGGGAAGGTTGGAGCCTTGGAGACTTCGGATGGTGCTCACAGTCTCGCGATGAGCATTGGATAATACTCAGGAGGTTCAGCTCAAACTACTATGCACTGCATCGATATAGTCTGTGTTATCCGCACTGTATATGCATACATAGACCCCACCTTCGGTATCGTAAAAGGTGCCGTAGCCGGCTTGGGTTCATGACTTTGCTCACAATGTCGCAGTGAAAGGCCCACGTCTTTGCCCAGGTTGTATTGCGTGGCTTTCTGACGAGAAGTTACATTTTCGATTCAAGTTGTGAACTTTTCTGTGCTGGAAAGATGTTGCATGACCTTGCTTGCTGATGTTCACCGCTTCACCCGCCGGTCTAGATTAGAAGTCCTCTCCACCTCCGATCAAAGTTCTACTTGCGAAGATTAGTGATAGGAAATTCTTAAGTCTAACTTTATGTGCGTATGCGGATCTGTAGAATAGTGAGGTAGAATGACTACCTCGGCAATGCCTACCGTTTGGGTAACTAGGAGTGTCGATAGAGTTAGGCGAAATTATATTCTTACAACGAACGTGGGTTGAAATAGACTTTGCAGGCGTGCCTCGTAATGATGTCGCATTCACATTTTAGTCCTACTGCGTCGTATCCGTACTAGTCAGTTATATCGGGTTAGCGCCAAGCGGCCGACGTTGCCGATCATCCATGTCTCGGCCGGGTATCGAAGGGCTTGGTGAACACTTTTCCCCCACAATCAATCCGGTCTCCCGGAGCCAAGCGCTCTGTCCTCTTGAGTCATGAGCTTCAGTAGCAACTCCGGTTCGGGCCATTGTACGGATACTCTCGACTACGGATACATGTGTAATGACAACGGGGGTCCATTGACGCGCCGCTCTCGGCCGGTCGCCTGTCGCCTGTGATTCAGGCAAGGAGGCTACCATTCAGAAATTTGCACCGGGGTTTTCTTCTTAGTTCTGATAACTCACGATTCACATTCGACATGTAAGATGCTTCCGGTCACCGTGAATCCCGCGGATACGGGACTTTCTTCCGGCCGACACTTCGTGTCTGAAGGCTCACAGGGACGCAGGTGAGAGCACGGCCCTCTAACATAAGATTACAGAATTTCCTGGGAAGAGCGGTTAATGAAGATTTGCCGACTACATTTGCGGAGCTTTACGGCATTCGCCGCACGTCATTTGTACAGTAAAATCAAACCCCAAGACGGAGTACCCGATTAGATGGTGACAGTTCCACCACGTCGGGACGAGAATAAAGTTCAGGGTCCCAGCTGACGTGTTTGTATCTGTACCTCGACTAGGAAACTAGGGATCTACGTTTGAGACCCTGGTTGCATTCGGTGGAGAGCTCCATGCCTCATGCCAAGTATTCTTATTTCTGAGCTATGACACTACCGAGCGCAGGAGCGCATTCGTTCTCCAGACAAAGCGAGGCACACGCTTACAATTCGCGCCGTCAAGTTAGAAGTACATTGGCCTTGCATCAGCGGTGGGAGCTGGGATAGCCTTCGGCTCAGGCGGTGTAACCCACTCCTTCCACGGCTGAAGTCGACTTTCTTCTGGGAATGGACCGTTAGGACCAGGCCCATCCTTCTGATACGGCGCGGGCTCCAGTACAATGAATCTTGCCTCAACACTGTACCGCGTTGGGCAGCCGGGCTGAGCCGCTCCATTTCGAAATGCAGCATGTGGTACAACTATGTGCGGAGCTCATTAGTTAAGGTTTCTTGTCCATTGGTCGACTAGGCCAGTCTCGGTCACCACTTGGCGGGCGGTGATATGCTCGCACGAATTAATGATCGGCAACTTACTGTTGAAAAAGCCACCTGGCGGGTGGGTGTCGTACTGTGTCATGATAACAATCTCGTCAGGGGTCTGGTTGCTCATCCAGTACCATCTGTGGGCAGGATTCCAGGAAAAATAGGCAACTTCCTTGGCTGCTTCGTGGGTGATGCGGTCAACCGAGACAACATCGGCGAGATCGATGTTAGTCCTTGGATCGCACACGGCGAAGGGAATGTCCTCGGCATGATTGAACATCGGGCGCCAAATACTAAACAGATGTGTCAATCACAGCGAAGCCGAGGAAGAGTTTTGGTCGCTGCATACTTGATGATTCTCGCCCGACTCTGGCCTGAGAGAACGCGTTGCCGTTCTTCCTCGGTCAAGAACAGCGATATTCTACTCCAAGAACTGGCCACGGTATTATCTGCAGCCATAATTCGAATTAGCGGTAGAAACGAACAATGTGCCGACGAAAATAATGAAGATTCTCTTACCCAAGTGGGCGAAAGGAAGGTGTCCTGTGCGGCCTCCTTGCGAACGTGCATCTCGAAACTGATTTTAGGTCAAGTGTGATTAGCAAGTATGATATTGCCACTTAAGGAAGGCTTCTGTAATCCAAACTAGAGTAGTCACTCACATTGGCATTGATGGGGAAAATCTCATCTGTACCAAATCGAGATTTTCTGCAAATCGTCAGCGTCTTCTTTGGTTGCGCAGCTATGGTGCATGCGTACAAAAATTGAGCCATCTCTTCCAAGTAAGGTTTACAGTCATCCGCTCCAGTCATTTTCGAGAGCTCTTTGGACTTGTTCTCGAGGAAACAGAATCCGTTCTCCTCAATAGTAGGCTTGAAATCTGGCAGCGTTCGTATGTCGGTCAGATTAAGCTTGCATTGCACACTCGTCAACATCGTCGGTCTTTTTCTCCAACAAAATCTGCCTGAAGCTTACTTCCATGTCCTTCATGACGAAATTCGACTTGGGGAACGACTGCCCGTCAGGGCCATCCCAGGAGTACGGCTTCGCCGTTTTGTGGAGATCAGTTCTCTCGAAGAAAGCAGTGACTGCTGCCATGATTGTCAATGATAACTGGAAGGATAAAAATGCGGAAGCGATTGCGTGTTACAGGAGTTTGTCCAAAGAAGGGATCATCAGTGCCATCTTCAATGAGAGGCGTCACGGAGCATACTTATGCCCACTTTAGTACCGAGCTTGTCATAGTCTGGTACGAGGCAAGCAGTGGCGTGAAAGCACAATATGATATGACTAGACAACTGTCCCAGGTGCAGGGGATAGGGGTTGAGCGGGGAACCAAGGCCGGGCAGATTTGTGCGCTTTTTGCTGCCGTCTTAATGTCAGGTCCCACCCCCTGCCCTCCGTCACCTCAAAACGCCGGCCCGCCTCAACCGACGGAGTCTCGCGATATATGAACTCGACTCGGGTGAGACTTCTTCGGCCGAAGAGCCGAAGCATTACACCGGGGCCATCAGATTTTCATCATATTCTTGTTGTACAAAGGAGTCTTTTCTTCAAGATGTTATCATTTTTATCATCAGCCGGGCTGTTTTGCCTTGTGATTACGTCGTGGCTCGTGATAGTCACGATATTGCGCGCCGTTTACAACCTCATTTTCCATCCACTGGCAAGATACCCAGGCCCGCGACTGGCAGCTATCACCCGACTGGTTCATGTGTACCACTTCGTAAATGGCGATGCTGTCGGCTGGCTCGATAAGCTCCACGCAGAATACGGCGACGTTGTGCGCGTCGAGCCTGGCCGTCTCAGTTACATCACACCTCAGGCTTGGAAGGACATATATGGACATGCGACGGCCACTCGTAAAGTTAACTCGAAAGAGAGGAAAAACAGCAAGAATCTCTTCTCTAATGGGAGTTACTCGATCTCGTCAGCTCACGGTCCCGAGCACCAGCGCCTACGCAAAATCTTCAGCAATGCGTTCAGCGACCGCGCCATCACGAAGCAAGAACCTATGCTGGCGCTTTACGCACAGCAAATGGTCGATCTAGTTTGTCGGAAGATCTCTAGCGAGAAAACCTCTCATGGAGCTGCTGCCATGGATGCAGTCCAGCTCTTCAATTTCGCCACGTTCGATATCATGGCAGATCTTGCATTCGGCGAAGCACTTGGCTGCCTCGAGAACGGTGGATCAAATGCTTGGGTCGACGCTGTCCAGGTGAATTTCAAGCGGATGATCGTCAAGGCAAGATTGAGGCCTTACCCGGTAATCTCATATTTGTGGCATCTATTCCAGCCGGAACAAGATAAGAAGGCTGCTGCTGTGCACGTTCAGAGCTCGCATGAGCGTGTCACGAAGAGGTTGGCCAAGGGCGCTGATGCCAGGAACGACATCTGGGGGCTCGTTCTCAAGGCCGAGGGTCCAAACGCGCTGACTCGTACTGAAATGAACAACAACGCCAACAACTTGTGAGTTGCTCCTGGTACCTATCTGAAGCTACGCATGTTAGTAACTGACACACGCGGTTTGCCTTTTCCTACTTCTAGCATGATAGTTGGCACTGAGACATCAGCGACAGCGCTGAGCGCTCTCACATATCTTTTGCTGAAGTCTCCGAGAAAGCTTGAACGACTAGTTAGAGAAGTGAGATCGGTTGGCGACTCGAACCAGCTGAAAGGCGATGTTCTCAAAGACTTGCCGTATCTTCAGGCGTGCCTCACTGAATGCCTCAGATGTGCGAAGAGTTTCCAGTCTCTCATTAACATGAAACACAACTGACGGTTCATCGTAGTACACCCTCCTGTCCCGACGGGTGGTATGCGTGTCATTGGTGAAGGGGGCAACACCATCCTCGGTCATCTTCTCCCCGAAGACGTTAGTATCACCTTCTTCAGTATCATCTCATGGCCCTTTTGATGAGGGCCCGTTCCATGGCTAATTGAACCACCTTCTAGACTAAAATGTCGATCGCGACCTGGACCGCCTTCCGTATCCCTCGGTACTGGAAAGATGGCAACGAGTTCATCCCCGAAAGATGGATTCCAGGTGAGCATGGGTACGATGAGTACCACACATACGACCAACATAGTGTGTTCCAGGTATTTGGGACCGGTCCGCGCGCTTGTATTGGCAAGAAGTAAGTTTTCCGAACGTTTTTCGAAGGCCAATGCCATCGCATCGATGTAAATTCGCTGACCTGTTGGATCAGTCTTGCATTGCAGGAAATGCGTCTCTTGTACGCCACCTTTTTGTTTCATTTCGACATGGAATTATGTCCTGAAAGTGACCGATGGATGGAAGATCAGAAGTGTTGGACTTTGTGGTTCAAAGATAACCTTCAGATTTGGGTTTCCCAGAGGAAAGAAACGTGAGGTCACATTTAGAAAAAGCAGTTCAGTGGTCACGTAACTAGCTGGAAGTGACGTTGATTCAGCATTTTTGCTCAAGTGAGAGGTATGAGGTAAAACTTATTGCTAAATACATGTAGAAACGGGTTCATCTGATTAAAGCAAACTAGTGCATGATATCCTTTTTCCCAAGGTGTCGAATGTGGTTCGTCATCTTGATAATATCCTCTCTTTTCTGAGGAATGTGATGTCCTCCTTCAAAGTTGATAACATGAGCGGCCTTCGAGGAGTAATGCGTTGCAAGAGTGTTTCTCGCCTGCCCTAAGTTGCAGTCCTGACTGCCGTGAAGATGCAATGTAGGCACCGAAATCTTGGCAATGTCACCGCCCTCTGACTTGCTGCGGATATAATCTGTCGCGACATCACTATAAGCGCAACAGACCAACACTCCAAACTCCAATCGCGGGAGCCACGGCACCAATCCCACCTCCTGCTCCCACAGCAAGACTGTACTTGCTAGCCCGCCCTGGGAGAAGCCCAAGACACCAACAATTTTGACGTGCTCGTTCTCCAGCTGCCAGTCCTGTACTGCCATCTTGATGGCTTCGTTGAACACGGCAACTTCACCTTCGGTGTCGGTTGCGCCCTTGCGAAACCAAGAGAAAAACGACTTCATTCCGGCAAAGAAGGGAAGAACATCTGGGCCGGGGACGGCAACGTGGGGTGCGGTGGCAAACACGAACTCGAAATCCTCTTTGAGAGCTGCACGGAAACCCGCGAGTTGGAAACGGAATATGTCGGGTGAAGCACCGCCACCATGAATGCAGAGGATGGCCCGCGTTGGCGATCTTTTCAGTGATGTGACCATTGCGGCTGTGGATGGACAGGTATTTCTCTGCGTATGGGTAGAGAAATAAGACGGAGATGAAAATCTTGCCTCAAAATGTATAAGATTTGTGAAAAGAACGAAGTGAGTGAGTCTGGTGTGCAAGGTTTTTTGGTGCTGGAAGTATGAGTGGCTCCGAGGACAGGTGAGGAGAGCAATGTTCGGGAGATATTTATGTGCCTCGATGAGTTTATCGCATCAGATGAAAGAAAGCACAAGCCCACGGAGGCTTTGAACAAGGTACTTCGGCCGATTTCAGTGGGTCAAGGTAGATTTGAGGAAGAGAGCACTGTATGACTTTCTCCCCGGGCCTTATCGCATCATGCTTGCTCGACTTGATGACTTTGGCCCGCGGACCTTGAGCAGTCGGCTAGAATGTTCTCATGTTGGTTGCTACTTTTCTTGAGAGAGGTTGGCAGGATTTTGGCTCCTTCCACTGACCATGTCTCCTTAGTTGTCTGAATATCAAATCAAGCATTCATGCGTACAACTACTTTCTCTCCAGAGAGTACCTTGTTTCGGACCATTTCCATCCCCGCCAGAATTGCTTCGAATCCACCATCTAAAACACGAAGCGGATGATGTTGCAAGTTTCCTTCGTTGATCAACTTCTCTACAGTTTCCCAAACAGAGACCCCAAAGACGCGCAGTTCTTCCGACGGATCGCTCTTGTAGGGCTCAGGCCAGGTGCATCCTTCCCCAAAGATTCGAGGGCCGACTGTAAAATCCGCGGTGACAACTTTTCGAGTCGCAGCATGCTGTTGCCAAGGGTCAAGAGACACATACTTGCCGCCGCCTCGTCCGATAGCAGCGTAGCAAAAGGCGGTAGACTCGACGGTCGTGATGCAGTCCAAGGCATATTTCAGGTTCCCTTTCGTGTATGTTTTCTGAACGTGAAAAACGATCAGTCAGTGATTGGTTGCCTTACGATTACGCGACATGCAAACTTCGGATTACAGCAACTCACGATCTTTTTCGCCAGCTCTTTATCATTGCGATCGAAAACTTCTACTGCCTGGTTTCTTTTCGCTAGGTCGAAATTCTTCGGGGAACAAATAGCAATCGGATCGAGACCGGAACTGTTCACGATGACTACGTCAGATGTTTCCTCAAAGATATGGTGGACGATTTGACTTACAGTTTCAGCATTTGCATGGCAATTGTCGCAGTTGCTGTACTGGCCCCATAGACCAATATATAGGCAGGCTTCGCAGCTCCTTGACCGGGCAGAGGCAAGCCAAGCAGCTTCATGGCGATTCCGGCGGTGCTCACTCCCACAGGTAGAGATGCAGCTGCTTCAGTGCTCCAAGACTCTGGAACCTTTGTCCACATCTTACCACGGGTCACAGCATACTCGCAGAATGCACCGCGCTCAGGCGTGGTTCCGTACATCTCGTTCTGGGCACCAAAGACCCTATCGCCAACCGTGATACTGTCAACCTCATCTCCCACGGCGACCACGGTGCCTGCAAAATCTGCACCTAGGATGCCGAACTTTGTCGCAAAGGCTCCCCTCATCTTGGTATCACTCGGATTGAGGCCAACGGCCTCAACGCGAACCATGACTTGATCCGCTGGGATCTTGGGACATGGTGCCTCGTCCCAGATGACGACCTCGTCCTTGCCATTTACAACGATGGCCTTCTGAGTCGTCGGAGGGACAAAATTTTGATGAGAAAGACTGCCCATGCTGAAATCTGTCGATGGTGACTTGGAAAATCAGCCCGGAATACCTTGTTTACCTTATCCTATGTCGCTGCTTCATACCTGTTAAACCACGTCTCCTCATTTACCTACAAGAGAGCACTCTCCATCGACATTCTTCAAACGGTCTTGGTTCATTCACCCACTCATTCACTCTACCCGAACGTGTAATCCTCGATCAACACAACTTCTACAATATCCCTGAATCGGCAATCCCGCTGTATCTCGCAAGAATCCTCGGATCTTTACAAGGGAGTACGTAACTAGTGGGACTCAAATTCGCTACCCGGACAGACTTATACAGCCGTACGGATAGACACTCTCGCAAATCTGGGAAAAGCATAACCGGCTGTACTACACATATGTGGACTCGGGGACCTGTGGGGATCGCAACATGTATTAGCGCTTTCTGTACCCCTTAGTCAGTAGGCTGTATCCATAGGACAACGGCTCAAGGAGTTATGGATCCCAATGGGGCCTCTGTGGTCCAGATTCAAACTTTGTTTTGACTTTCCTAAAGTGAGTATTCAACACGCGGTTACCTTTTAGTCGGGCACATTCACGTTACTACGGATACTTCGTAGATGCATCGATCTGATCCCTCCCTTGTTCGTCTAATTTTCAACCGAGGCCATCCTTGATGATGAAGACAAATCATCACGGGGTCATTAAGGTCCTGTTGCCGCTTACTACTGGGAAGCTTGGTATGATATTCTTTGTTACAGCTCGCTTGTCATGATGCATACTACCCTTTAACTTTGCAAGGACCCCAAATCTAGGGTCCATCGAGGAAATCTTGAACCTATCAAGTAGAGTTTGGGGATCTCAATAGACTTTCGGATGGCTCCGCTGATTATCATTGGAGTGGGATCCTTTCACCTCCACCTCTGAGAATACCCCAGTTGTTCGAGTACCTGTACTTCTCTGCCCAGGCAATGATCGCATCCCAGTCCTTGCATTGATGCTGATAACCCCACCCCGTCCCGACCTGTTCGTTGTACTTGCGCCACTCGAGCGTCACATCTGCATTACACATAATAGTCTGTCGTAGATAATCCCAGCAATGATTGAGATGCTCAGAATTCCAACCAGGATCTGTAGGCAATTCTCTCTTTGCCCCTCCGTTCTTGTTCAGGCGGTCGATAAGCTCATAGTATGCGTCCATAGTGCTATACTATTGTGGGGGTACCATTAAGCCAGAGTTAGCAGCGATTCAGTTATCTTGGGAGGCGAAATTCCGGCATTGTGTGCGAAAGGGAGAATGAGGCCATTCGGTGTGACGTACAAGACAATGAAGTTGATGAAAGACCGAGGGATACGCGCGGTGTTCCGGAAGTGATTGATTCAGCCCCGGCAAGTCAGGTAGAGCAGTCTCGTTCTTGACCGTAACCCAACCCCGCCCAACTAGTATCAGATATCAGCAGTCTGACTGACGTTAAGACTACTTGGAAATTTCCTTTCATGGTCAATCCGGGGAGGTGGGGGGAGGGGGGGAGGGGCATTTACTTGGCAGCAATCTGTTCCATGCCTCGATACTTTCAGGGTTAGGAGGCTGGCCGTATAGTTTGTTCCCATGCAAGACCTTTTTCACAGGGACTATGATACCAAAGTTAGTGTCACATCAGTTATCAAAACAACACGTTGTCCACTTTGCCTGGACGTCCACACTTCTTCCTGGTCACCTTCACGGTTGCCCAGGTAGAGGAGATAGGAGATGGAGTTAACGTACTCTGGGGTGGGAACCACTCTGGTTGCGCCGGGTAAATAACCGTTGCAGAAGCCTCGGAGAGATAGAATGCCGGGCCGTAAAATACGACGAGAATTAAGACCGCCGCAATGGAGATGGCATTCGAAAGTGATAGGGTAAGAATGATCAACTGAGAGCGCGGCAACCGACTAGTGGCCCTGGTGGACCGTCCGTCGTCACAAGGTTCACGAGAATGGAGCAGGCCGGCATTTTCGTCCTCCGTAGTCGAGAGTCTCGGTGTATCAGCCATGTTCACGCCGTTCTCTTCGTTTGAGAAGATCTTGGCGGATTTCGCCATCATGCTTCCCTGTCGTCAGAAGTGGGTAGTTTGAATGGGGGATATGTTAGTTGTCAGTCTTTCCTCAGAAGTAGAAGGTGTTTTTATAACCGTCTCGGTGGGAAAAGCTGGTCGCATTAGGTCAAATCAGGTAAATTCGCCGTGTGTGTAATGTTCCTTGCACGCAGACCATACCCACAGCAGGGTCCTTTCTCATCACATTTGACTGAGCCACATTCATGTACAGTGTTTCGGCGTACTGTGACACCTACATCCAGATAGAGGTCTTCTAGTCGAAGACGAGATGCTCCGTCAGATTCACCGATCGACGAAGTTAATTGGAATCCGAGCCTCGGGGCTTAAGAACTCGTGGTAGAAGTCTCTTGTTATTTGAATCGCTGAATGATTTCCACTTAACTCGTGCTCCTCCCACTCGCTGACTCATTATTTCCGAAACATTCATCTTAGTCTCTCATTTCGGCTTCTTCCCGATCATTATCAGCGTCATGTCGCCGAACGAGCCCATTGTTGTTGTTGGAAGTGCATGCCGGTTTCCGGGCGGTGTTGATAGCCCAGCAAAGCTATGGGAACTCTTGAAAGAACCGAAAGATTTGCAATCTGAAGTTCCAAAGGAGAGATTCAACATCGACGCATTCTACCATCCCGATGGCTCTCACCATGGCAGGACCAATGCCCGTCACGGATACTTTCTCGATGAGACGCCGAGGGCTTTTGATGCGTCATTCTTCAACATCCAAGCCGGCGAGGCAGAGAGCATAGATCCGCAGCAGCGTTTGCTCCTGGAAACCACCTACGATGCTGTGGCCGCGGCTGGATACGGACTACACGATCTTCGCGGTTCTGATACCGCGGTTTACGTCGGCCTGATGACCCACGACTTTGAGCTCGTCAAAGTCAACGACATAAGCTACAGCCCAACGTATTTCGCAACGGGTGCCGCTACAAGCATTGCATCAAATCGTTTATCATACTTCTTTGATTGGCATGGTCCTAGTGTAAGAATGCTGTTTAGTTGAATCCACGGCTACTATCTCAATGTTCTCAAGCTAATCATGGTTATAGATGACTATTGATACTGCATGCAGTTCCTCTCTAGTTGCGGTGCATCTTGCGGTGCAACAACTGAGGAGCGGATCGAGCAAGACAGCTATAGCAGCTGGCTCCAATTTGATCTTGTCTCCAAGTACGTTTACGGCCTTTTCTGAAAGACGAATGACTCGGAAAGACTCACATTTCAACTTTCATAGTGAATTACATCACGGAGAGCAAGCTGAACATGCTCTCACCCACGGGCAGATCCCGAATGTGGGATGCTGCAGCCGATGGGTACGCGCGAGGTGTAAGTCCTGTCCTCCATTGCCTGTCATGCATGATCCATGAGGACATGACTGCGCGGCGAGAGATTGGCTCGATCGTCGGACTTTCACTGACCAAGGACACAATGTCTGTCAACAGGAAGGTGTTGCCACTGTGGTCCTGAAGACGCTTAGCCAGGCACTGCTTGATGGCGACTCCATTGAGTGTGTCATCCGTGAAACGGGCATCAACCAAGACGGACGCACAACCGGCATCACGATGCCGAGCCATGTTGCTCAAGAGACCCTCATTCGCGAGACTTATGCTCGGGCTGGTCTAGATATTGCGCAAGCTGAAAATCGCTGCCAATTCTTCGAAGCTCATGGTAGGTACCAAGCATGAGCGTGGGATTTGAACGTTTGCTTACCACCGACTCACAGGAACTGGAACGCCAGCAGGTGATCCTCAGGAAGCTGAAGCAATCTCGAAAGCTTTCTTTGGCAGCCAGGATAGTTCAGACGGTGAGCGCTTGCTTGTAGGAAGTCTGAAGACCGTCATTGGACACACCGAGGGCACTGCTGGTATTGCAGGCTTGTTGAAAGCCTCACTTGCTGTACAGAACGGCGTGATTCCTCCCAACTTGCTGTTCGAAAACCTCAGTCCCAAGGTTGCGCCCTTCTACAAGAACCTCTCTATCACTAAAGAGGCTCAGCCGTGGCCAGAACTCAAACCTGGTCAACCGCGGAGAGCAAGTGTAAACTCGTTCGGTAAGCTCTTCAGTAAGATCTGTTCTAGACGTCCCAGACAATGCTAACGAAGGAAAGGTTTCGGTGGCACCAACGCCCACGCTATAATTGAGGAGTACAAGACCTCGGCTTCGAGCACGGGAATCACGTCGAAGCCAGAGTCTCAGATCACTTCAGCTGCATATGCCTTGCCTCTTGTGCTTTCTGCCAAGACAGAGCGTTCGCTAAAGAGTCTGATGAAGCAGACTGCTCAGTTCATCAAGTCTCACCCGGATGTCGACATGCTTGATCTCTTTTGGACGCTCCTTCGCAAGCGATCCATCCTCCCCCACCGCCAGCATGTCGTTGGATCTTCCAGGGAAGCTATCATACTCGCCTTAGAAAACGCTATTTCGGAAAACGCCAGCTCAGAGCCCACCTTGCGCTCCTTCACCACCAGCCAGGAGAAGCCCCATCTCCTGGGTGTGTTCACTGGCCAGGGTGCTCAATGGCCTGGCATGATGAGATCGCTCATCTTAGCGATACCTCAGGTTCGCGACATCGTGATTGAGCTTGACCGCTCGCTCCAGACATTGCCTGTCGAATACCGCCCTTCTTGGACCCTGTACGAGGAATTTCTGCTCGAGGATGAGGCCTCCAATGTTACCAAAGCCAGCTTTTCTCAACCGCTCTGCTGCGCTGTACAGATTGTTCTGTTGCGGCTACTGGCAGCTGCTGGTGTTGAGTTCACCACGATTGTCGGTCACAGTTCAGGCGAGATAGCGTGCGCCTTCGCTGGAGGCTTCATCAGCGCCTCGCAGGCCATCCGAATTGCTTACCTCCGAGGCCTTACATCCAAGTATGCGAGCTCCCCGAACGGGGGCGAGGGAGGCATGCTTGCGGTAGGAACTTCACTAGA